CGGCAAGAGACGAGAAAGAAATGTAAATCGTCTAAACACCCATCGTCAACCGTGAACCGATCCCTGCGCTTCGAACGAGCCCGAGGATCGCCCGGCGCGTTTATTTTTAATTCTTCGTTCACGTGCCGGGGGGTCCTTCTCACGATTTCTCCGGCGAGCTCTCTGGAAAAAAAAAAAAATACATTCCGCGCTGTCCGCCCGTTCTCCCGCGTGTCCGTTTTTCTCTTCGCCCCCGCCCCCCCACCCCCTTACCCGTTTCCACGTTGGAATCCTCCTGCGTTTCGCTCGCGCAACGCCCTTTGCCTCAAACGGTAGTGCATTTTTCACGTCAAAGCGCGTTTTTTTCCCCATACGCACGTGTCCGCGAGCGCAAAAACAGACTGGAAATGCGCTCGTGTGGGCCGCGCGCGTTTCCCTAAGTATTGTCGTCGGAGACCGCGACAAAGGCTGAAATTACAATTTTAAGCTCGACGCTGGGACGCGCGCTGGAAAAGTGCAGTGTGTGTGTGTGTGTGTGTGTGTGTGTGTGTGTCCGCTGGAGATAATTCGGGCTCGAGATAATAGCGTTCTCGTCCTGTTCCGCTTGTGAACAATGGCGCCTTTTAACATGGATAAACAGATCAACTGCCTGGTAAATTCTACTTACGGCCTCGACGTGAACGGTGGAAAAAAAAAATGTTTCTACGGAAAGGGGAGTGTGCATATCGGCCGGTACTTTTCGTAAGATAATTTATATTCATGTCGGAATAAAATGAAAACGGAAGAACGAGAGGTAGCGGTACGTAGATAAAGCATTTGTTACTATTCTAGGGCAAGTCCCTTAGGAATATATTTACAAAATGAGAAGAAATTAAGAGAAAATAATGGACACAAAGTAAAAAGATAGTAACGCAAAGCAGAATAAAATAGCAGAGAAAATGAGAAGAGTAAATATACAGACATTGAGTACAATAAAGAATGTATAATGCAACATAAGATGAAAAATTAAAGAAATAGACAAAATAAAAATAAAACATCTAAAATTGAAATAGAGAGAGAGAGAGAGAGAGAGAGAGAGAGAGAGAGAGAGAGAGAGAGAGAGAGTTGGGCGAGGAGCGAGAATTACTGAACTCCTACTTATTAAATTTATCAGTACCTGTTATACATCAGACGTACGTTCATGTTTCGATAAATGCGATACTTGCGCGAGACTCTCATTGCGCGCGCGATAGATCCGCGGATTTTGAATATCGCATTAGCGCGAGGTATTTCGAATCTAATTCCGAAGCCACGAAACGGCACGGCTCCGCAGTCGCGAACGCCGTTAGCGGAACTCTATTCATTAGCAATGAGGAAAGTGGATTAAGCATCGACTGTCTCGAACTTATAAAGGACACTGTCTCGGTGTAATACGCGCAACGGAATCCCATTTCGGATACGGAGCGCCGTTGTTGGCCAAATTATTTCACAATGCGAGTTATACGTCACTCCGTTATACACTTGTCCGCCAAATGTACTAAGCGAATTACGAAAGAAGGAAATTTATTTTCTGTTAAATTGTGAGAGCGTTCGGTTTCACATAAATAAGTCCTCCCCCTCCTCTCTTTCTTTTTTTCTCGTGCTGTCTCTTTCTATTTTTAATTCGCCCACTTCGTGCAAAAGTTAACGCTCGCGGGTGTTGTAAAAGTTGACGTTTCTACATGGCGTTTCTGCATACGTGACTTTAATAGCTTTTAGTTTCGCTACCTTCCAGCCCAAGGTGTAACAATATTATCTTTGCACGTCATTTCAATTGGCGCCGGTCACGGTGTAGGTTAAAACGATAGGAATTCAGTCGCTTAGCGGTTCCCGCAGCTTTGTCCTGCCCGTTAATTAGTTCCGCGCTTCGGGCGGAATTAAATGCCAAATTACAAATCAACCGACTTAAAGCCGAGCGCCGAGAAGATTGACGGAAAACAGGGGTCAGAATTGCGCTCGAATCGCTTTTAAGATTATATTAGCTTGTATTGCATGGAAAACGATGACAGGTTCTTAAAATTTTTTTAACTACTTGGCTAAACATCTTAGAAACAATTTAGAAGAGAGAAAACGTGCAGTTTGCTAGCTTGTTACAAAGATATTAATTAGAAACTAAGCAGTTGTAACTTAATCACTCTTTTATTAACCTCTGTTAGTGTTTTGAATAATTTTACTATTCCAACGAAATCTATCTTTAAAATAGAAAACAGTGAGGGCTGTCGATATTAAAATAAAAATCGTAAATATGTAAAAAGTCAAATCAGAGTGCGGTACAGTACTTAGTGCGCAAGGGGTTAGGCCACCTTTGAGGTCTTAAAAGATACCTAAGTTTGGGATTTTTTGTGAGTAAATGGATAACTTTATTAAAAATCTACTTAGAGGACATTATTGTATATATATAAGAAAGCAAAAAAAATTAATTTTTATTTTATGTCCAAAGTGGCGGCGCACTGGCCTACTTGCGGAATCCTTTTTTTTTTATCTTCAAATCGGTGTACAAGATTCCAGACACATGATTGGACCTTAAACAAAATACAAAGAATTTTCATTACATACACTCACATACATTACATTCACTACATATTAAAGACTAATGAAGTACGTAGGGGTTTTTTAAAATATTGATTTTTCTCAAAATGGCAGCTATTTTATGAAAAATGTGTATTTTTTGCCAGTACAAGTTTTTCTTAAAATCTGCCATTTTGAGAAAAATCAATATTTTGAAAAAAGCCCTATGTACTTCATTAGTCTTTAATATGTAGACAATGAAAATTCTTTGTGTTTTGTTCACGATCAAACCATGTACCTGGAATCCTGTACACCGATAAAAAAAAAAGAATTTTGCAAGTGTAGGCCAGTGCACTGCCATTTTGGACATAAGAAAAATAAAAAAATATTTTTTTAATATATATATCTAGTAATCGTATGTATTAAACACAATGAATAAGATGGGCCAATGCAACGGTTATATCAGGATGTTGGTGCTACAATTTTATTATGTGATTTTACATACGTATTCTAGCTTCGACTAAACTGCGTGCCGTTACTTTCCGGATTCAACGCAACCCCCCATGTTTGAAACAGGATCGTATTATCACGTATTAAGAACTTGATGCTAACTTGCATCTAATAAATCCCCCCCTCCCCCGCGACGTCAAATAAATGCTAGTCTGCATCTATACGAACCAATTTCGACGAATCTGTAAAAAAATTTATTGCGAAAAAATATCACCCCATGTTCTCAGCCAGGAATTCCAGGAAAGATATATTTTTAATAGATATATCCATTTTTAATGGCGAAACTATAAAAAATACATGAACAGTATGTAAATTCTTAATAAAGGTTATCAAAAATATTTTATTAGTTTAATTTTATGCAGTTAAAGCCAATAGTGATCTTGTGGAGTCCAAATACGTGTTATAAAAAATGCAAAAATTGATTTTGCATCTCAATACGCGTCACTTTTTGTTGAAATTGTACAGCCAATACGTCCTTAAATCACATAAACGTAAAGCCACTAACAAACATTCGTTTCCCGACGACGTTTTAATTTTATCGTGTATATACAGTAACCGTGGAACGCGAACCGTGGAGCCGCCAATCGCTGACGTCGACACGATATACGATTCTATTAATTGGTCGTTCGCGATCTCGACGTGCGCGCGGAGAGGCGCATTTTTAATTAGTTTCCTACCTCTCTCTTTCTCTCTGTATCGACGGCCGAGAGCCTTCGTGTTTGCATTTCCGTTGCCTTGGATATATAAGAGATACGGGCGCGCGCCAGTAAATATTTGCGCGAACGTTGATGAAAATATGTGGCATTTGAATAAGGTGGCTGACGCGGGAAAGACGAGCGCGTCGGCGCGTCGCGCCGCGTCGCTCTTGTAATAACGAAATATTGCCGGAACGACATTGTCCGGCTGAAATTTAATATATAACATTCCCGGCTTGTTATTCGCACTTGATTACCAAAACATTCTCTTTCCTCTTCCCTCCTCTCCCCCCCCCCCCTCGTGAATTTCGCGCTCGCTATTCGAACTTTCGCGAAAACGTGACACGCGGATAATGAACGCTTGAAAAACGCCAGTTAGCGTCAATAAAATTAACAACGTGCACGATTTGCACGACGTATTAATTGTTCGTGTGTCAAATGAGAGCGCGTGAGTTACGCGACCGGCGAATGCCATCCGAACGCGTCGACGACAGTCGTACTTATCTCGCTGCGTCACTGCGGTGAGATTTGCGGAAGACGAAAGCCGCTGCGATAATCCGCGCAGAGTCCCACAGATCTCGCGGATTTACATGGCTGTTAGCACTTTTCATCCTTAGGAGAGGCAGGGCGATATGCGGTCTCTCGCCGGCGGTACTCCGAGATGGCGACGGGCACGGTGTTTGTCTTCGTTTCATCGTCGTTGCATAATCATTGCTCGAGAGAGGACGTCTGCCGTCTCTCTTTCCCTCTCTCGTACCGCCGTTCACGGCTCTCGCTCTCCCTCTCTCTCTCTCTCTCTCTCTCTCTCTCTCTCTCTCTCATTCGCTCGCCCGCCTTCGCGGCGCGGCGCGGCTCCACTGACTCCTCTCCCGCGATACATCCGGAAACGGATGGAAAACGGAAAGAAGACAAACAGCGGTTGCCTAGGGCGGATGATTAATTTCCCCGAGCGCACTCGCGCGCCCACGTTTTCCCTGGGAAAACTGGGAGCTGCATATTTTATATGCGCGTTAACTCGTCGCGTGGCGAACTTAATTCCCAACGAATTTCATTATGCCTTTCGTTTATTAGGCTCCCTTTAATGCGACAGCTGCCGCCGCCGCGGCGCACACCCAGCCCCGACCACCCCCACCCCCCCCCGTCGGGGACTTTTTTGATGACATTAATTTCGGCTGTAATTGCGCGGGCGGAAAACGCGAATGACTCTCAGGGGCGGGTCGGTGATGTCTTCCAGTGCATGATTCTACGCTCGCTCGTGTGAACGGCCACAATAAAAATATGTAGATGCGGTGAAAAACGGAGAAAACAATACATGTATTTTCAACGTATTAAAATACAATTTTATACGTAGGTACGTTATTTAAATACAACGCGCATAATTAATTAAAAATATTTCAACCGGGACACCGGCAAGCGTGAGCTCGCTCCCGAGCACTTATTTACATAGTTGAATTCGAAACTTTCCAGTTATCTTTCGAAACTTTATCGATGCTATTAACAACTGTATCGTTCTCGCGCCGCGAGAGAGATAAGGTAGTCAGGTAGTAAACGAAACACAGCTTCGCCCCCCGTGTTTATTATCATCGTTACTTTTTATCGGCGCCGGTAAAAGTAGCTTCCAGAAGGTGCATCGAACTTCGAATATGTCTTGAAGTACAAAAAAAAAACGAATCGTACGTGTTCCATCTTGCTGCGATGCGTCCATCCTGTATTCGCTCTACGTGTATACACGTTTGGCGCTCTTAATAATATAATATTTTATCAACTAACAACGAGAATGTATTTAACAATAAATATTTTTATAATTCACGTATAAAAACGCTTCATTTATACTCGCGTTATTTTTCTCTTTGCATTAATACACCGCGGGCAGTTTTGACGTATAATTTGAACTTTGGTTCGAATCGCCCGAGTGGAAAAATCGTTTAAATAATAATAATGTATACGTGACAAGATGCGCGGAAATAATTGCCCGATATCGGTTTATAGCTTATGCGATTCATCGTGTTTACGCGCCGCGCAGTTTATCGTCGGGCGTATATAGAGATATAATTTCGTTCATATGCACGTGAGAATTATTGCTAATGATGCAAGCTGAATTGTTAACCTTATACGATCGATCGCATTAGCATCATTGGTAACTGTAACTACCGGTGGTTCGCTGACAAACACATCAGTCGTCGATCCCGGGAACTCATTGATCATCAGCTTCTCCCAGAATTCCATTCTGTCGGACAGGAAATCGGCTTGCACCACAGTTTCCGGCAATCTGTCAATCCCGAATCTCATGAACTGATGATGATCGCGGTAGTCGGGCCACGTGGGAATCGCCCACGCTTTCGGGATTCTGTACATATGTAATAAACATTACGATCGGCATAAGAACATCCGGTCGCGATGCATATAGGACCGAATTTCCTAGCGATTTAGTATTCCTATCGGCTCCGAATGGATGAATCGGATCATCGGCGACGGTGATGCCGTCGGAAATGGAATGGAAATGGAATATGACACGCTCGAGAAATTTTCACTTTTGAAAAATTACAATCGAAATAATTACCTAATATTTGGGGATCCGTTCGCGCTGTACCAGATTTTCTCGATAACGCTAATGCTTAGATTTGTGCGCGTTAAAAGATTGAACGTTATGTCTTTCGTAATAAGAATAATAATAATCGAGTTATAATATTACAATAATAATTAATGCTATTAATTTTACTTACCCGTTTTTCACGAAATTTGCCCACATCTCTGTCACGATGTTAATCATAGTAATATCACGCTCCGTATTGTGCAGTAACATATTCTTATACATATTATTCAATATAGGAAATATGTAGTTTAAATCGTCGCCATGCGTAACACCTGGGGGAATAGATTATTCATTTAAATTCACATAAGTGCCTTGAGGATGTTTAATTTTCGGCTGTGCAAGACAGTCGAATAATTTATGAAGGATCCAACCTTTCATATTTGCTCTTTGAATAAGGCTTTTTCAACATAATTATTATTGGTTACATTTAAAGTATTTGGAAACACAGAACAAGAAAGAAAAATATTGTTATGCTGAAATCAATACTTCTAATTATTTATATCTGACGAGAGATAAAAGACAAAATTTAAGAAATAAAGTTCAGAGAAATTCCACATACGCACGTACTTTATTAAGAGTTCTCAACTTAATTAACGTTATACTGCAGTAAAAAACATTTTGTATTTGCATTAAAACCAGTCCTTGTTAAAACTTTTTGTGTCGAATTTTTAATATACTCAATTTATGTGACTGTATTATTTAAATATTTTGTAATAATATTTTTCTTAATATTTCTCTTGTTAAAATAACACAATTTATGAGTAAGTGGATAATAATATAAAAATAATGTAATTTTAAAATTCTAATAAAAATGAATGAAATGTACGTATTAATTTAATATATTATAAATCTTAATTTTACTGAAAATTAAAATATTAAAAATATGCTTTCACAATTTGTTCCCAAATTGTATCAAAATGTTGCACTTTTCTTTTAATTTTTTGCGTAATATTAGTATTTTTTTCTAACATTTTATCTTGTGTTAAATTAAATTAATACAACAATTTGGGTGGACCATTTGGGACAAATAAAATGTGTTGAACTTAATTTGACACATTTATGCAAATTACACAAACTTTTTAACCGAAAGTCGGATGACGTACCATAATAAACCGGGATACCCGAACCGAAGGTGGACGAAAACGTGCCTTCGTACGCGAAGACGGAAAAGTAAATGCTGGATTTTCCTAGTTTCGATTGATATTGTGCAACTAGGAACTGCGGCCATGCTATAATGGCATCAGTCAACATCTAGAGAAATAATCTCGTTATCAAACGCGAATTGTCATACGTTACTCACGTATTCACTCTTGAACTAGGATTACCTCCGTCAAGTTATGCCCGAAACCCAACGTCACATTGCCGTTGAAATAAAAATCCTTTACCATAGAAGCGAAAAGGCTAGTGTTGAAAGCCAATTCGTGGTATTCTAGCAAGTAAGGCAAATATTCTTCGAAATGCTTTCTTAGTTCGTCTTCGACATCGGGATTTGTGAATATTTCTGAAACGAATATGAATGGATGTGAATATCATCGAGTTATTTTTTTCATCGCGTCGAAATTTAGTTAAAAATTTAGAAATAATTTCCTCGTTAGAATAACAAGCAACTGATATTCGCTCTGCAAAATGAGACTTTTAATCTTATTTAAGGTTAATTAATGTAATAACATGAATTGCAAACTACATTTCTTCCACCCGGGAAAATCATCTGACGTAGTATAATTAATTTGTGCGACAACTTTACTTATTGTTAATTTATTTATTTATTACAAGTAACTAACGGAAAATTACCGAATGATTTCGCTAAGCCCTCGTCCTTCACGAATTGCATTATCGTCGGTATATCGCGAAACAGTCCGCGCTTCATTATTTTCAACGGATGCATCGTCAGGATAGCGTCCTTCGAGTTGTTCTCCAATGTGGGACCAAAGACGCACCACGGATGACCTCTCCAAATAGACTAGCGCAAAGTAATGCAAAAACTAAAAACGCCAGTGCCAACATTTCTACAACTCTACATCGACGGCACTTACGAAATACTGCGTCAACGTTGCTAATCTCCTCGCATCGACCGTCCTCATGCATTTCACTATCTCTTCGTCGTCCTTCACATTATAAGCCGGATGTGAAGTATTATCTTCTACTTTCGGTTTGCCGGTGGTCGTTTCGTTCGACGCGGTTATGTTATCTTTCTTCAGGCAGCCGGCAAGATTCGCCAATTTCAGACATACTTGTCTGTACCTTTTCGGAGGGTGAACACTGTATGAGTTTAGGGCGGTGCCGCTGTGCAGAATGTATCTGTGAAAGAGTCCCTCGGTCTTCCTTGAGAGAGCGAGAATATGAGTCACCGTTGCACCGGCACTCTGCCCCATAAGGGTCACCGACTTGGGATTCCCCTCGAATTTGTGGATATTCTCTTGCACCCATTCGAGGGCCATCTTTACATCCTTAATGGCGTAATTACCCGGCGACACTTGGTTCATTGTGCTAAAAAATCCTAAAAGAGGATTCACATTAGCGAGCTGAACCTCGAGCCGAGTTTTGTGTCCACATTATCGAATCGAACCTTGTGATGAAGTTCGGTTCGCAATTCGGCTCAAGGTTTAGTTTGACAATGTGGATCCTCCTTAAAGGTGCGTCCAGATTAGGTATCGAGCCGAACTTCGAGTTGAACCTCAAGCCGAGCTTTGAGCTGAGCTTCTTCAAAGGAGCCGAAACTTTCTGAAGAAGATCGGCACGATATATGATCTAGACCGCACCTTAAATAATTCGAACTCGTAGTCGCGTTATATTGCAGTAATATATTGCATATCGTAGTAATAAGACCTGTCTCATTCACGTCAATACGCTTCAATTTGCGATACGCGCGTCCAGCGCATTATTGTAATGAAGAAATCGACATATCGCTGACAGCGATACGTTCGACAATTCTTTCTTCCTCACCTAAAGCAGAAAGTCGATAATTCAACGTGACGAGAATTACATCCTGATCCAACAAATAATCCGGCGCGAGCAGTTCGCTGTCGCTACTTCCTGACTTAAATGCACCCCCGTGCACGAAGACTAAAACCGACAGGTTCGCAGATTTCTGCGGATTGTCTAGAAACTACAAAGACGTTCGCTAACGTTACAGAGTGATAAAATTGTTACATATACAAATAAATGACACGAAATATTTTATAAGTATTGCGCTAAACGTTTAAACGTGAAAATAGTTAAATGTCGCAATGACAACGCAACCTTGATTCGTTTAAGTTTAATTAAACCGCTAGACCTCGTGATCTAATTGAGTTTGCGTTTGTTCTTGAAACATTTTAATTCTCGATTTGCTTTGAAATTTTTAGTAGAACTACAAAAATAGCGCGCAATGTTAATTATTTTATTTGAAAATATCTGTTAACAGTTTTTTATTATTATAAATATTTAGTGATAATATTTGTGCACAATGCATCACTCACGGGAATGAAGATGTTCAAATAAAGGCAGTCCTCGTTGCCAATAACTTTGGAGTTTTTCGCATCAAATTGAATGCATTTTTGCCCGTCGACTGTAGCGTCACGAATTGTCGTCCACGTCCGATTCCATCGTTGCGGGCTCTAGCGAAACATTATACAATCTAGCCACGCTAATTAAGTCTACATTCGGATATGTTAAAACGTTCGAATTTATGTCAGTTAAAACATAGAGATATATATATAAATAGCTATAACTTTGACTCTTAATTTTCAAAAAACATCAGTCTCCAACATTTTTGCAAGAATCAGATCTAGTGATGAGTAATTGTTAGATATTATTAATGTTTGTATACATGATTTTCTAGTTTTATACGCACACGATGAGTCATTCGTGTTTGCGTTAATTTTCATCACTTTTACACAAGAAGGATGCATATTTTAAGTGATTCTATAAATATATTTTAAAACATATATTTATATATTTATAATTATTTATATATTTGTTTAGGAAGCATTTGTAACATTGCGTATTAAAAAAAATTATATGTAAATTTTATATAACTAATTGTAGTAAAAGGACACGAATGACCCAATCATGTGTACTAAGGTTAAAGGAAAAAACCAGGATTGAGAAAATTGCTTTTTAAAATTAACTTATTACCGAATTAAAAAAGTTATAATTAGAACTGTTACTAACTTAGTTACCTATTCTCAGAAGTAACTTATTACCGTTACTTAAAAAATAACGATTCATTTTTTCCGTTACTTCTTTAATGTTAAAACAAAATTAGACTTAAAAATTTACTTTTGTAATATTTTTAAAATATTAATAAAAGCAATATAACTTATTATTCCCTTAATAAAACTTTAAATTCGCAAGATCACAAAAATTTAAGGAAAAGATTTTAAAATGCTGAAAATGTAAATGAAATATTTTGGTTTTTGTTAAATTTACAAATGCAGCCTTTATAGACTTTTTTATGTATATTTTATTTTATTAATAGTTTTTTAGAAATATGTTTATAAACTTCAACACGTGATAAGCAATTCGATAAGCGCTTAGTGATTTTTTAATACGATTGGATTTTGCTTTCAGGTTTTTAGTGGATCTATCAATAAGTCGAAATCACTCGTAATAAAAAATCACTGAATACTCACTGAGCTACTTTATCTACTGAATGTAATCTATAACAACAAATTATGAAGATTAAATGTACAAAAAATATGTCACAAATAAGTTCAAAATATAAAAAGTAACGATAAAAGTAACTATTAAATTCGTTACCGTTAACGAGAAAAATGTCACTACGTTACCGTTGCAATTACAAGAAAAAAAAGTAAGTCATTACCAGTCCGTGACTAAAAATAATAACGGCGTTATAAATAATGCATTACTTCTCGATCCTGCAAAAAAAAAATGGTATCCGCATGTTCGGACTACGCACCCTGAATCTCAAATCGCCCACCGGGGGTAGAGCGTACGGTATCCCGAGAAAATTCGCGACTGTCCGATTGCGCACCGTCCTGCTCCACTTGCCGCGGACGAAGCCCCATTTCGTGTTGACGAGAAGTGGCTCGGACTCGACGAACAGGCCGTCGACGAGGACGAGCAGGAGCACGAGCAGGCACACGCATCGCCAAATCCTTCCGTCCAGCTGAAGACGCAGCGTCGACATGGTGCAGCGCCCGAGAGATTCACGTTGTGTCATATATTTGTCGCGAGAGATACTGCGCGCATCACGTGTACAAAACGACTGAAATGTAGCACGACTTTACACACACAGCGTTATCGCGGCCGCCACATACTGACGCGATACATTTAATTCCTACGAAAGTGACGAGCACCATGCCGAGTGGCGAGCGACATTACACAGCGTTGTTTAAATACAGCGGAGTTTATGGACGCAACAACATAAGCATATACCTTGGCACATTTTGGCGTATAGATTTAACTAAGCCGAATCTCCAAATTCTGCGAGGAGTATTTAAGAAATATTAAATAATATATAAAACACTTAATTATAAATGATATTTAAGTTTAATAAAATAAAACGCGGTTTACGCACGGACATAAATGTATAAATTTTAATAACGACTTGTGCGTTATCAAAAGCAACTTGTCACGAAAAAGTATACGAACTTAACTACGATGCACTTTAAATCATTTTATTAGCACGTCAGCGAATGCAGCTAGCTCGCCGCTAATCTATCGACTTAATTCTGTTATCTGCACGTTCTTTTTCTTTTATATAATGTATGCATAGCTAAATTATTAATACTCAACGAGGATAATTGTTAAACAAGTGAATCGCTTAAGTCGCCAAGGGCGAATATTGTATGATTCACGTCAGTCCGTCCAATGCGAATTGATAAGACTGTCAACTTGACTTGGCGAAATTAAAGCGTACAAAAAAAGTACACTGTTAAATCTATAGTGTCAAACTGAACCTTATTTAAGTCGCCATTACTCTTATTTAATAGTTCTTTTTTACTAAAACAATGAAGTTAAATAATTTAAAACAGTTCAAATTTAACCCTAATTTGGGTTAAATTTGAACTGTTTCCATTGTGTCCATTGTTTTAGTTAAAAATAATTATTTATTAAGTAGGAGCAGTGGCGACTAAATAAAGTTCAGTTTGACACTATAGATTTAACAGTGTAAACGCAGCAAAATATATTATACGTAATTCTAATCCGTATTGAATTATATTTTTTTTTTCCATTATACGTTTCTGAAAAGTCGGAAAGTCTGCGTTTTCCGTAGGAAGTGATTGAATATTCCGTCCTCGCCCCGCCGTCTTTACATCATTTATTCACCAGAAGGATCTCTATCAACCGTGACGTATTATTAAGCGAGGGGTAATGCGGCTTTTGGCGGAGCTTAGCTACATACTGCGCATTATTATAGATGAGCAACTTAACCCGGGTTACTCGTAACCATTCCATTATTCAACACGTTGCATTTTAGCTCTCCACCGTGGCACTACATACTTCACAATGTCAACAATCGCGCCGGGTTATTTGAAACTCGAAATGCCAACCATCTCGCAAGTGCTAACTAAGTAAAATAATAACTTGAAAAGGTACACTTAAAGGATTATAAGTAAAAAAAAGAAATATACAGTCGGAGAAACGTAATAATGCATCTTTTTAAAAATTTCAGAGATCTGACGCGAATTTATAAATTTTTCATATAATTCTCTGTATATTATATATTATATTTTATATTATATTATGTACAGAGATATGTTATAATGTTCTTAAATTTTAAGAGATCGTCATTGTTCTACTTCATTTAGTTTTGAAGTTAACTAATCTGTCGATACTTCTATACAAGAGGAGAATTATCTTAAATGACGTTGCTGATTGCTTTATCGAAACCCCGAAACGCCGCGCGGAGGGGCCCTTGAAAAGCGATCGTTCTTTATTTATCTCAAGTCAAGCGACCGTCTAATTCGGGTTTCACCGGCGCCCTTACTGCATCCCGTGGGTTTTCTTCTTGGTTTTCTATGTCGACCGCCACCGCCGCCGCCACTGCCAACGCCACCGCCACCACTACCTCCGCCACGGCCACCACTACCACTACCTCCGTTGCCGCGCGGCGGAGGATCCGCTTCCGCCGGCGGTTCAGGTCCTAACAATTTCCTGACAAGGGGTTTCCCCCGAGAGTTTCCGGTCCGTTTCCGCACGAAATCTCCACGGCGCCTTCACTCGTTACGCGTCGTTTGCCGAGCCGTTTATCTCCTCGTCATTAGTTATGCCGTGTTACTTGGCCGCAGATTCCCGCCGATCGCAGATCTTTTGCCATCCCCTCCTCGTGTGATCTCCTTTCTTTCCTTCTATTCCAATCTCGTACATTTAGTACGATGGCAAACGCACACATTTACAGTAAAATCTCGACTATACGAATCGATTGAGGAGCAACCGTATATATTTGGATCTTTCAAATAATCGAATAATATATTCTATCTTTTAAAAGCGATCGATCTTTATACAATTTTTTCGTTCGCGAAATAAACGTGAGCAATATACTGCAGTCGAAATCTAGTGCAATGACTGACTATCTGTGGCAATCAAAGCATATCTATGTAAAAAGTAACAAGAGACAACATGCAGTTCACAAGAGTGCTATCAGCACGTTATTCCGACAAAGCAATGTGTCGTAAATTAAACGCAAAGAGTCGCTGTCACATCACAAAACGTTCTATTATCGCGAGCTTACCTTGTCTTTGTCACTTGTCACTAATTAGCGTGCATATAGCGTTGCTCGTTTGGGCTTGACATAGCAAGAGCTCGAATAATGAAGCCGTGAGATACGGAATCATCAAGTCGAGGTAGAAAACACGCGCATTATGTTATTTACAGTCTAATGTTACAATTAAAAAATGTATTATTAAGCACTATGAGATAGCGTCGCGCAAATGAAGGTGAATTATCGCTGAGAGCGACCGAAAGTAACGACGCAAAAAGAAACCGATAATTCGCTGACGCCCAGTGCCAAGAACACACACAGATATTCCGACATTTTACTATCACACATTTCCAGAAGAGCACACGTGCACCTATAACGGTATCAAAGCATGACGATCACAAAAATAGTCAGCTGTTCAGCTGATGCGCAGCGATCTCGCAAGCAAATCGTGCGATCGTCGCTCCTCCTTATCTCATATGTTTATAAAAGATGTTGTGCTTCCCAGAAGAGCGTTGAGACAGAGAGTCAAACGATTTTTTTGACGATGAAAGCTGTTAATCGCTAATAAGCGTGATTAGTATCACCGAGAGAAAAATATAGTTGAGATAACCATAATTTAACCGTAATTTATAATAAATTTTGGGGATAACTATAAAATTATAATCAATTTAACCATGCAAATTATAGCTGCTTTGACGATGCATTATAGTTATACACTATGATTGATATTATTATTTTTTCGTTTATTTATTTTTTAGTTATTATTACAATATAAATAGTAAGCAAATGTTAAGAAAATAGTTACACTTACTATAATTGCAGTTGCATTTACTACATAAAAATATTTATTTCATTTATTTCACATATATCTTGATATTTTATTATATTAATATTTGAAATTATTATAATTTACAGTAAAATTTTTTCATATTTGGTAGGACTATACATATAAGATTATTATTACTAACATTATAGTAATAATAACTATAAAAATGGTGCTCTTAATCATAATTTTTTTACCATGCAATTATAGTCACAAATACAAAATATTTTTCTTTTAGTGTAACAAACACTGATTATATCTGTATTATATAACTGCAATAATGCAGCAGCATAGTAACATTTCTGCAATATAGAATGGAATGTTACAATGTTGCAGTTGTAATCTGTGTTTACTGAATATCGGTGCTCTTAAAAACATTGAATCGCGAACAAGTGTGTAAAACACGCACTTTCGACCTTGAGCAAGTTAAAATTAGTTACAAGTTCTAATTCTTTTTAACTTGATACAATTCGCTTTTGCTTATCTATGCTTCATTTATATGTATGATCGTGCTTTAGAAAGAGTGGGAGTGATTACGTTTATGCACAGGTGTACAAATATTTTTAATTATCACCTACAGTTAAGCATTCATTTCATTTTTTTCAATTTTTATATTGTGTTTGTCTTGTAGCAGCAATATTGCTGACTCCTCCACCATTTGTGTACATTTACTTAATTTGTAAATACACGCAATAAATTAAATTAATACAATTAGAGCTTCAATGATCTTCAGGTGCGTAATATTATTTTTATGTAAATTCTAAATATATTGTCGCAATCATTTAAACGCGCCTATTAATGTTGGACTTGCAACACAATTATAAAACCGAAGATGGGGTATTAAATTCACAAATTAAATACTGATGCTAATAAGCATCTTAAAACACTGCGAAGAACATATTGCGAGAAATATTAATTAAATTAAATTAAAATTACTCAGGTCGCTAATTGGCCAATTTAATAAAAAAGTTCGTTACTGCCAAAGCTCAATTTATTAGTTGTTAAAATTTAGGGACTGCAGCAAAAAATATTTGCTGCTAGAATCAAATGACGTTTAGCTAATTCTCTATTGAGGAATATCCAGCAAAACTTTTAAATTTTTAAGTAAAATCATTTTTTCCATATGCCACTTTCTTAGCTGCTCCTGTTAAAGTACGCTTTTATTTTAGCTAATAAAATTGTATCTCGTAACAAATATATTTTATCTTTAATAACTTTTAGCAATGACAGAAAAGTTCAAACCAGCTATACGGAAAGAACACTTTTGCTGAATCCAGATGAAAATCATTTTTGTTCAATAATCAAAATATTTTTGTGCGAAAGTTAAAATGATTGCTAAAATATCAAAACGTTTTATAGCAATGTTTATCAGTTTTAACATTCCAACAAATTATTTTGATAATTTAATAAAAAATTATTTTCAGATCTCTGTTTTTAGCAAAATTTTTAAACTTTTCAACAAAATCGTTCTTTCCGTGCACTGAAATTTAGCTGATAACATTAAGTCATTTCTTTCCGCGTGGATGTATAAACATTTATAATAATACTCTGCACGAATCTTATTACTCACGCTGCTTATCATTGAAAGGACTGTATCACTATTGAACGCGTTCTATTTCTTTCACTGTGCGTTCTCTAACGGTTCGTCGCTGACTGACTGCCCTTTAAATCGCCTCGCTCATCTCCTAAATTTAGCCAATATCAACACAATGCGCTCGCCTTACAAATACCTATGTTCGAAGTCGCGCAGTGCTGGAAACTAAGACACGGAAAAAAAGAGGCTGCCGCAGCTAAAAACTGCGTGTGACTATAAAATACAGTTGTAATATGTATATAGATTGCTAATGTCTTATTGCTAGCTGTAACACCTAAATTATTTAGTTGAAGAATTTGACCAACCAAAGTTAGCTATAAAGATCCATTTACAATGAGAATAGTAAACCGTAAGCCGTAAGAAATTGATCAATCATAGTCGGTTATTCGTACGATTTACTACTCTCATTGAAATGGACCTTAAGACTTATTTCAGTTAGGTAGTTCAGTCCGGTTGTACCGCGACTTAACGAATCGGCTATATATCGTTAGTTCCGATAACTACTTTTATATCGCTAAACATATACGATGTGATCCTAAAGGTATAACTAACTCATGTACGCGTCATTTAACGCGCGCGTCACGTGTCATAATTTATAACAATCTTTCCTTGTCGGAAACAATTATAATCTTTGTGAGCTCAGGTCCTCATTTGCACACAAACTTTTGAACATGACAATACGATGACGCTTCTGCAGTTGGATAAATTCAACTGTAAACGCGTCAAACGCGACAGTGCTATAGAAGTCACTGTCCAGGCAGAAATGATCGGTCCATAGACGTCGATTTGACGTCTATAGACACCGAATCGACATTGATTCGATGTCTATAAACGTCGAATCGACATCTATGGATCGATTATTTGTATCTTTTGGTATATACTTAATTTATTTCTCAAATGACGCGTGACGCGCGCGTCAAATGACGCGCACATGAGTTAGTATCTTACACACATACATGCATATTTTACTACTTTATTTACGTGTTAGGAGCAAATTGTTTTACTGTAGTTTATAAATTTATAGTTACGGCAGCAAACACAGTTTTAGCAAACCGTGATAGCTATGACACACTGAGAGAAAAGATATACTAATGGTAACAAAAACAGAGAATTATTCACAAAAGTCAAGTTTTATTCTAAAATTTTGTTAAAATAGCAAAATATATAATTAAATAAGCAAAATTTGATATAATTTTTGATTTAACAACACAATTTTATTTGGTTACTCACATTTTGTACACAGTAATATAAAATTGGGTTGCAATTACAAAATAAGTTTTCTTTTAGTAAGTTCAACAAAATAATGTAATTATTTTGGTAATTTTATTCAATAAATTCAACGAATTAATATCGACGTGTTAGTTTAGTTGGTCACATATCAACACATAGTTTTGGTATTAGTAACAAAATTTTGATTGTTCATACTAAACTTTTCTCTCAGTGCAACAACTTTTTTTTCCGTGGCATTATACAGAAACTATATAGTGTCGAATCGTTAACGTATATTCTTTAGGAAATGTTAAAATAAACTAAATAACGCCTTTACGAACTCGTTGGTCTTCGATCCAATTGAGATCGATGTCTTCGGAGTGCTGAAGACGACGGAAAGCGAGGATTAATTCGGTACTCGCGCGCGCGATAATGGCACGGGGCTTCGGGTGGCGCGTGAGGTAGCCGGGATCGAGTGGGACGTCAATATGATTTAATATCGGCTGTTTCCATGTCCATGTGCACGTAGGAGCACGTCGTGTTTGATTAAAGGCGGACGCCGCGCCGGATTATGCATTCGTCTATTTGTCACGTCGTGGACTAATTGCAGTACGCGGTGCGGTCATGCATCACGACGGCAAGAATCGTCCGGAAATAGCGCGCGACCTTCGCGCATCGGCCGCGCGTGGACAATTTCCCTCGTTTCTTGACGGTGTCGCCGAAGCTTGTTTGCGATTACTTTGTAACTAATTTTCCGTGGTTGGGATGGGGAAGGGAGGAGGAGGCGCACGTGTCACGCTTGCTGCGCTAACATCGTCGGATGTAACAAAATTACTACTTCCCTTCGCATACCTATACAGGGTGTTTCATAATAGGTGTATCATCGTTCATGGGTAGATAGAACAGACTAAACGAAACAGAAAAGTCCTCTACCATTTTGCAAAATTTGCAATCGTTAACAAGATATTAATTTTTGAAGATCGGCGAATAAACTTAATATCTCGTTAATAAATGCGAATTTTACAAAATAGTAGAGGACTTTTTTGTTCAGTTTAATCTACTTATCTTGCCACGTACTTCCATTCAGCGGTGGGCCGGATGAATACGCGTTTATTCGTCAATCTTCAAAAATTAATGTCTCGTTTACGATTGCGAATTTTGCAAAATGGTAGAGGACTTTTCGATTCAGTTTAGTCCGTTCTACCTATCCATGAACGGTGATACACCTATTATGAGACACCCTGTATATATATATATATACATATACACAATTATGAACTCCGCGCTGAAATCGTTTAACGTTTGTACGATTAATAATTGCGGCTGTTAAACGCGTTTTCATTGCGAATTGTCATTTCCATTCCTTTAAATCTGAATTCTAATTCCGTTTAAATTTGAAACGCGTCCCCGCGCGCGTATGTAAAGCGCGCGCGGGAAGCGGCGCATTGTCAATACCGCGGCGCGTCGCGTTATTAACCAGTAAAGAGAGTCACCGCGTGACTTTGATCGCGCGCGAGTGCATTATAATAATGAAAACGTAAAAAAAAAAAAAAAAAAAAAAACTGGAGTGCTTTTGCCGAGAGTGTGTCAACTATATGCCCGGACTCTTGCACACGGGCAAGACAATGGAAGAGCGCCCGCGCTCGCGGTTTTTGTTACCGCGTTTACGTTTGTTTGCACGCTTAAAATCTCGCGGGAATCGTGATGACACATTTGCGTAACGAGATGATTTCCAGGGACGAGGCGTCGCGGCCGCAGAGAGTTTTTCCGCGGCGCGGTGTCGTCATCGCGCGCTCGATTGCATTCCGCGTCAATTTGCGGAGTGTGACGAGCGTTGGCGGCGCGACCGACAGGAGCGATTGTCGATCGTTGATTCGGCCGGCGTAACATTTCAGGGCGCGAACGCGTTTTATACGCGTCGAGCGCGATGATACGCGTCGGCGACTCTTTTGCGACAGGGTTAACGCATATCGCGTTACGCGTTCCAATAATGTTGAATTTAATGTAAACGTCATTACGCGCGGCGCAGCGCCCGCTACATGCACGAGCGACCGATTACGCGAGAGAAAACGAATTTACTGCGAAAATTATATTGTAACGCATCGCGCGGATAAATGCAGGACGTGCAGCATTAAATGTCGCGAAGAGCAGCGACCTAACCGCGATTATACGGTCGCTATACCGTGTATGAAATTATTAAATCGCGATGTTATTTATCGGCGCGCTCGAGTCACCTTCGGCCCGTCTTCGCGTAATGCGTCCGTCTGTATTTACACAACCAGCATTATTATACGCAAAAAAATTCCGGTCGGAATTTTTTTTTTCCACCCACTGTCGCGGTTTTATCTTTGTTTAATGCCCGTCGTTGAAAAGCGCGGGCCGGCGTTCCTGGTAAAGGAATTACGAACAAAGGGAAAATGGGAGCGCTTGGCTCCCAAATGAGAACCGTACGTCTTGTTTTTCAACCTTTTTACGCTCTAAAAGGAAATTTGGTTCGGCGAGA